AAAAAAAAAAAAATCCCATTTGCAAGTTAATCAAAATAAAGGCTGCAAAGCTAATTAAAACTCCTCTAAACCATTGTACATGCACAAAACAGTGGAGTAAATCCTGAATTATGTTTTAAAGAGTTTTCCCTAAACGGACTAAGCTGCTTTAGTATATATTATTCATTTGAATGGCTCCTGCTGGTATTTTTAAGAATTCATCCCCTAAGTTTGAAATAAATGGAAATGCTTTCACACATACCCAGAGTCTCTCAACCAGGCTCCTGAGACAAAGTAGCCCCCCTCCCACTTGGGACTGCCTTCACTCCTGGGCTCCACTTACTATTTCAATGACCTAAAGCAAGTTTCTTTGCCTCTATAAGGCTTGTTTTTTTATCTGTAAAATTGGATATTTTAATAGTAAGTGAAACTTAACGCATTGAGAACAGAGCCTGGCACATACTATTTAATAAATGCTATTTTCTTTGACGTACTTTGGACATGTTATCAGGAGGGACCAGTCCCTGGAGGACATCGTGCTTGGTAAAGTAGAGGGTCAGCACAAAAGAGGAAGACCTTCAATGGGATGGATTGACACAGTGGCTCCAACAATGGGCTCAAAAAAGATGGCACATGACAGGTCAACATTTCATTCTGTTGTACATAGGGTCACTATGAGTCAGAGCTGACTTGACAGCACCTAACATTTTGTTTGAACCACTGCTTCACCTCAGGGGCTAACCAAATGCCTGGCATATAGTTGGTGTTCAAGTATTTTTCCAAATAAATGCACCCAGTAAAAAGTCCCATGAAGCCAGGACCCATGTTTGCCTTGCTCCCTGGTGGTCCTCAGAGCTAGCCAGTGCAGTGAATGACGGACACTCTGTCTGTACTCCACACCTGCTCTGCAATGGCTGTCAGCACCAACTAAACACGAGCATCCCCTGGAAAGCTTTCAGCAGACAGATGCCCAGGCCTCGCGCCCAGAGATTCTGATGTCACTGATTTGAGGTGGAGCCTGCATGTATTAGGAGCGCCCAGGTCTAATATTTGGGCAGCGTTAGAGCCACAGATGGAAACGTACAAGCCGCCCCCACCTGGTGCAGTCTCCCTCATGCAGAAATACGCTGCGGGAGGGCCCCGGGAACTTTAAATCCCTAGGACTCAATTCGTATGAGCAGACCTTCCTGTAACCGCTCACACATTTAAACTGAATCTTACTCATTAAGTGGCAGAAATCCACTCTGGGTACCAAAGACCCAGCTCCCACACTGCTAAGGATGTAACTCTTACAACCTGGGGGGGCGGGGGTTAGTGAGGAGCAAATCAGCACTGTTAAATTCAAAAGTTGAATTGGCAAATGTTGTTATATACATTTTTACAATAATTTAAAAAAAAACAAAACAGCAAAACATAAAAAGTTGAAAGGCCATGCCCTCTGACACACAGCAATCCATCTCGAAGAACTTATTCCACGGAAACACCCGATTGTGACGTTACAAATGGAAGGTGTCACAACAGGCTTTGTTTAAAACGCAAACTGGAAAACCACCCAATGGTCCCTCATATGGGATGAAATTATCATATTAAGTACTATAGCCATTTGCGAACGACATGTGTTTATAATTACCGACCTAGAAAAGCATCCCAGATATTCTGTTCAGGTAACAAGAGAAAAACAGAAAAGTTGCAAAACACCACACACAACGAAAAAAGGTCGAGTTATTTTGAAAAAGGAGGAGGGTGGATGATAAGAGATTTATTTTCTAGCTTTGTTTTCCTTTTATAGTTTCTATAGGTTACCAAAGAAAGCTAAAACTCTTAGAAAGCACATGGAATAAAGCCGGGTAAGAACATTCACAATGAGTTTAAAAAGTTACGTACTCGAAAAGACTGCAGTAATAGCACGCTCATCACAAAGTCAACATTTTCAATAGAAGCTTTATTTTAAATTTAAAGCAACTTTGGAAATAAGCATTTCTTTTTTTTTTTACAAATTATAATCAAACACTTAAAACATAATAATGGAATGTTAAACAGTATTTCTTCATTCAAAATAATGACATCCACAGAATACATCCCAGGATTGGCCAATATGAAGTTAACCCTTTTGTGACTCGGGGAACATACGGTATCTTACCCACTTTTTATGCCTCTGGAGTTCTCTAGGAGTATACTTTTCCCACTGAAAGTACTTGCTCCCTTCCAGTGGGGACGTGTGTAACACTGAAGGCAAAAGAAATGTTCATTGAAGCAAAATAGCTGGCGTATTAGGTAAAACCAGAGGTGATCCATGTACCCAAATGGAAGGTGCCCCGCAATAAAGCCTGTTATCCAAGACCAGTGGGCCAGACGGGCTCCCACAAATCATGTATTTTCATATGCTATTTCTCAAAATCTCTATTAACAACCAAAAATTTAAACACACTCAATGACTCAGCATGCATTCCACTACTGGAAACACATGGCGTCAACAAAAAATTCAAGGCAGAAAATAACAGGGTCTTGAAAGGGCTAAACTTACTTAAACCTATTATCTTATACATCTTAACCATTAAAACTTCCTAAAATTCAATGATTTGAATGATTCAACCACATATAAAGTTAAGCAAATCTTCTATATATTACCTCAGGGGTAACTTTTTCAAATATAAAACACTTATACAAGCAAACAATTTATTTAAAAAAAAGTATATAAATGATACTTCAAGGGCTTGATTAAAAGGCTGTCTGATAGATACATTTCACTTTAGAAAGCACACACAAAAGGAAAACACTTAAGAAAATGCAGATGCCACTACGTTGTCTTAGTTATATTACACAGCAAACTGCGGGTAAATAGATTTCCTTCTATATATGAACTAAAATAAAAAAAAAGTCCTTGGAGCAAAGTGGGAGTGGAATGTGCTGGCGTGGAGAGCAGAGTCTTGGGGACACCCAGGAACCACCTGTCTCCAGCCGGCTCGCAGGTGTCTTGACAACACTGACCACTCTCAGAAAGACAAGATGGTCTTGTGAATGATCTCGACGGACTCGCGGACCTCGTCCTCCTTGATCACAAGCGGAGGTGCAAGCCTGATGATATCGCCGTGGGTCGGCTTGGCCAGAAGTCCATTATCTCGAAGTCGGAGACACACCTTCCAGGCATCATAATCTAGAGAAAAACGGTCAGACACATGTGTTTGGATCAAGGGAAACTGTTCGAACGTTTGCACAGCTGATGTGCTACGGCCTAGTTGCAATACATGCATAGACAAAGTACAGCCTGGCAAAATGGAATTCTCAGTACCTGCTCCCAAAGGCAGCTTTCAAATGCAAGCTTGCTTTGTTCTTTATCTTAAAAACAAAGTCAGTCCCAGATTTTCAGCGAGCACCTATCTAGTGTTTAAATGGCACAATTAGATCATGTTTTTTGTTGGTTTTTCATAAATGAAAAAAAGAAGCTAAAAAATGTATGTGCTAAGATGCTGTATTAATCACACCATGAGGAATCAGTGGCAAAAGGCTTGGGTATGACATAGAGACTAACTGATGTAGAATAAGCCCTACTCAACCCACGATGAACACCCCATATTCCTACAACCGATCTGTGTCCTGAGCTTGTGTAATTACAGACTCGTTATATAGCAGTAATTCGGAACCCTGGCTGCCCATGAGAACCACCGAGAGGGCTGTGAGGATGGCTGGCACCCGTGCACCACTCAGACCCGGACCCACGAAATCAGAATCTCAGGGGTGAGGTCAGGCTTTGATTAACTTTTGAAAAGCTCCCCCAGGTGATTCTAAAGGGCAGCCAAGGTGGGAACCACTGCTTTTCAAGCAAATCCAGTAAAGAACCTTCCTTAGAGGTTGCAAATGATGCACTGAAAACATCACACTCGGTGCCTGACACCCACTGAGCAGGTGCCCAGCGGCAGCCGGCGTCGCTTTTACAATCAGCGGCATCATCATCTCATCACTGCTGCTCCCACCTCCTCCACCGACACACAAAGCCTTCAGTGAGGGAAGGACAGTGAAGGAAGGTGCTCTGTACAGACTTAAGAATGAACGTCAGCTCTTCATGTACTGCAAGACTAACTTAAAGCAGAATAGCAGCAAACGGCTTAAAGGAAAAACAGATCAAATTAGTTCAGCGTGCCTGCAGTGCAGTGAATTACTGTGTGTGGCTCTGCCAGCCACGCATGGTCTGGTGGCTCCCACAAAATGACTGGGTGGGACTATGCAAAGAAGGTGCTTATGGCCCACCAAGGGGACTGGACAGCATGGTACCATTGTGGGGGGTGGGACCATGAAAATAATGTCTATGGAACCCTAACGAGGGGATTGGTCAGTTTTGCCACCCTGCTAGGCTTAAAATGAGCCACCCAGAGCCAGAAAGGGGACCTCACTACCACCAAGACGAAGAGACAGGAGCGAAGCGTGTCCTTTGGACCAGGGATCCCTGTGCTGAGACCCTCCTAGATCCAGAGAGAGAGCTGTAACACCAGAGATGACGTGCGATGGCGAGAAGCAGTGGCAGAGAGACGGTGGCAGCAGAACAAGGAAACCAGCGGGAGACAGCGTGGTGGCCTTCCTGGCCCACAGAGCAAGGTGGCTACAGTGGGTGTGCCCCTCTACAGAGTGAGAGAGCTGAGCACCTTTGGACAGGAGGCTTCTCGGTGGAGTGGGGGGCCTCTGGGCACTTGTTGGCAGAGCTAGGCTTGCCAACCCACGGAGCTATGAGCACCTTTGGACAGGCTTCCCGGTGGAGGGGGGTGCCTCCAGGCACTTATTAGTGCAGCTTTGTAACACTTGCTCGAGCAGGGCATAGGCCAGGCCTGAGTGGGGGCCAAGGGGCCAAGAGAGGCCTGCCTGCAGGCACAGCCGAGAAGCTGTCCTGACCGAAGAACAGTATCCTGAGTTGTTCCTGATCCTGAATTGTAACCTGTTACTTCCCTAATAAACTCCATAATCCTGAGTATTGTCCATGAGTTCTGTGTGGCCATTGCAATGAATTATCGAACTCAGGAGTGAGTGCCATGGGAGAGATGGCTGGTGTAGGAACTGGTAAAAAGGTTGGAAAGAGGAGGTGTCTGACCTCCACCTCAGAGGAATCAGCCTTGGGCTGTTGATCCTGATTCTCCTTCTCCCTCATGAAGTTAGAGGAGGTCAGATGATGTCATTTTTACAGTGCCTTTGTGTAAGAAAGAGGTATATTTTTAATACCATTGATAAAATTATGAATCAGATAACACTCTGCCTAAAAGACTTGGACAATAGAAGGTCAGTCAACAGTTTCAAACAGAGGAACCCAATAACCAATTAAAACACCAAATGAATTTTAGCACTTCCTATAAAAGCAGTATCTGGAGTTAAACCGTGTATTTCCATACCTTTAGTTTCTCTAATAACGATAGCATTCAATAATCCTTTTCCTCTGACAGCAGATACGACATCAGAAGGTAGCTTCATGAGTTCATGTCTCAAGAGAGAACCCATTTTGTCTGCGTTTTCAGCCAAGTTTTCTTCTTCCAGGACCTATTTTTAAATAGAAAGTACACAAATGTTAAGACTGGCCTTTTGCTATTCTTTGGGAGTGTGGACTAGAAGCAAAGAAGAAATCATTCACTAAAGACTGGAGTCACCTCACTTCTATTTCATTTCTTCAATTCCTTTATTAGTTTAATTTGTAATTAAACATACAGAGGCTTGCTTAATCACAAATCCACTGTAAATCTGATTTTCTGGCAAAATAAGAGTATTCAAGTTTGTTTAAGCAATGGATATATTATTAGTTGAATAAATCCAAGAACTAAATTGTTCAACTACAAGAGAATTCCCTTAAAGTTTTCTTTCCCAGAAATTCCATCCTCAGAGAGTATATAATAATTTTACGTCCCTGGTAGGCATTTGGAAACCCTGGTGGCGTAGTGGTTAAGTGCTATGGCTGCTAACCAAAAGGTCGGCAGTTTGGAATCTACCAGGTGCTCCTTGGAAACGCTATGGGGCAGTTCTACTCTGTCCTATCTATAGGGTAGCTATGAGTTGTAACCGACTCAGCAGCAACGAGTTTTTTTTCGGGTTGGCAGGCATTTAAAGGATAATGCTGAAGTGTTTAAAAGCCACACCTGAGGGGGAACAAATGCCTCACTTGCTATGCAAATGAAGCCTGGCAGGTGAGAGCTGGCAGGTGGATCCCAGTGCGAGATCGCTGCTAGGACCCCCGCTGCTAGGACCCCCGGGGCACAGGCTCCACAGCCCCAGCCAACTGCAAACTCAGGAAGCCCTGGGAGGAAATCTAGTCTACCAGGCCAAGGTCAAGGAGCCCTGGTGGCACAAAGGGTTAAGCGCTCGGCTGCTAACTGAAAGGTTGGCGGTTGGAACCCACCCAGAGGCTCTGTGGGAAAAAGACCTAGTGATCTGCTTCCTAGGAAACCCAGTTCTACTCTATTACATGGGGTCGCTGTGACTCCACATCAACTGAACCACACCCAACAACAACAACAAGCCAAGGTCTAAACACTTTTTGAGAACGGCCCTCCCCTAAAATCTTTCCCCTGCGCTTCATGTTCTCTAACGTTGGGCCATCTTACCCAATTTCTTATTACACCAGTGGGGTCAAACTTAAAAGTCACTTCAACATTAAAGAAATGGACACTGTGTGGCCTGCTCCGTAGTACCTCGAGGGCTGTGATGGCCACTCGGCAGCCGAGCGGATTGCCGCCATACGTCGAGCCGTGTTCCCCGGGCTTGATGGTGAGCATCACCTCGTCGTCACACAGCACCGCCGACACCTGACAGACGACACAAAGAAATCACTCCCACGGAGCCCCTTACTCTCCGCACGCCAGGACACAAGTATTTATGAAGCTAGTATGAAACATGACCTAAGACTTCAGCAAGTAAGAGCTATATGCCTGCCATCTTAACTACCAAACTGAGTAACACCCTGACACGTTACAGACATGTCAGGCACACTTCAGTGGCACAGAACAAGAGAATTTTGAAACTAAAAAGATGAACGCTGTTTCTGTAATGATATGATTCACGATCCTTTCCACTTTCAAGATGAAACGCTTCATTTAACTGCTTAGAAAACAATGTCAAGCACTCTCTTCAGCGAAACAGCTTATCAGCCCGTTCAGCAAGTGTCTATACTTCAGAGTCCTTTAATCCACTTCCAATGATTGGCGAAGAATAGCAAACCCAAGGAAAGAACGACAACACAGCATTAACTTTTCAATGTCTAAGTCCATTGGTCATGGTTTAAACACTCAGTTGGTAGAGCCGTGTTTCTGCACACTGGGGAGAAAAGCAGAGGAGCCTATAGGGGCACTTTTGGGGGTAAAATGTCCCCACCCCAATCGAATGCCAAAGCAAACTCACACACAATCCTCAGTCAATGTTAACTAAGCGGGTCCCCCACTGGAACCATGAAACGTGTTCATTACAGACATTCCAGGTGGCCTACATATAGTTTGCTAAGAAACAACGAACGGTCTGAAAGGCATTAGGGTCTCAATCAACTGGTGCAAAAATATTTGAGGAGAGTATTTCATGGGAGTAGAGAATGGAGAGAGGATGGAACAGCAAACTTACAGGGTATAAGCCCCCAGAAAGGGCCTTGCCAAGGAGGATTATGTCCGGTCTCACATTTTCATGATCGACAGCCAGCCATCGGCCAGTTCTGGCCAATCCCGTCTGTATTTCATCAGCAATAAACAGAACCTACGGGAAGACAACACCACAGCATTAATTATCATTCTAGTTCCACGGGGAAAACAGTGATCTCCGCTTCACTTTGCTCCCCACTAACATGTAAGCCTGACATGCCCTCAGACTTGAGAAAGCGCGTTAACTATCCACGATTTCAGTAGTGCCCTACGGAACGCCTATGGACACACCCATTGTTCACACTGTCAGGTCACTGTCTCCTCAGGCAGTCTCCCACTGCTCTACACAGTGGGAAGGCAAAGAGGGTTGGGGGGCGGGGTGTTGGGATATAACTACTCTCTGGAAACAACTCATTTGTTTATTCTACAAACATTTATTAAATAATTACTAAGTGAGAGAACTGCCCGATGGAAAGCTATGACTTGGAACAGACTCGATGGCAACAGGTTTAATATCAGCCCTAAGGAGCCCAGGTGCCGCAATGGTTAAGTGCTTGGCTGCAAACCAAAAAGTTGGCAGTTCAAACCCACCAGGCGCTCTGCGGGAGAGAGACCTGGCAATTTGTTTCCTTGAAGACTATAGCCTAGGAAACTCTACGGGGCAGTTCCACTCTGTCACACGGGGTCGCTATGAGTCACAATTGACTCGACTGCACTCAACACTAACCACAATGTTAGCCGTGGTGGAAGGGTGAAGAGGTTACATTTTGGAGCAGGAGGCTATAACAAAGGGCTCTGGAAGGATTTGGACTATAGATAAAGATTAAGAGTGAGACACGGTCAGGGCCAGGAAGTCTGCATCTCTGGCCTGGGCACAGCCAGTGTTGAGCGGCAGTAAAATTTCAGCCACTGTGCAGGTTGCCGACACAGAACACTGGCAAGCTCTAAAGCTCTGAGAAGAGGTCCCCTTCTAGTGGAAAGGTAATAATCTTTGCATTTCTCCTATCAGCAGAATCCTACGAGACGCAGGCAGCTGGGCCCCAGGGTCGCGCATCAAGGATGTTCAGCATGGAGGACCTGGTGCCGGGTGCAGAGTTCTCGGACGCCCGTCAGGTAACCCGGCTCTGGCACAATAACGCCTGCTTCACCCTGAATGGGTTCTACCATAAACGCAGCCACGGTCGGATCCTGAAGAGCACGCTATAAAAAAATACGAAAGGAGGAAAAACAAAAAAAAGAATAAGTTTTAATAACTTCCTTGCTACCCTGCTTGGAAATTTGAAATCACATACTGTACATATTTTCGTTAAAAAAAAGTATGCAAATCAAGTTTTCCCACTAACTTATATTCTGCTTTCACAAGTATAACATTTCTGACTGACATTCAATTACCAGAAGCTCCAAATACTTCAGCTTTAAGCTACTCTGTCCTATATTTTCTAATATATAGTTAAATTCATTGTAAATAATAAAACTGACAGTCTTTTAAATTCACTTTAAATGACTTTTTATTTTATTTTACAAGTCTCCTATTCATCATTATAAAAAGCTAGCTGAAAATTAAGTTAATTTTATCTAGTAACTAGACAGACAATATCCAAGTTAACTGTTATGCAGGATACAAATCTAAACTGGTTGGTTGGTTGTAAGGATTAGACCTTATGTTGGAAACTAACCGCCCATTACAGAGAATACAGCTGAAACCTTGGCCTACTTTAAATAAGATAAAATTCTACTATACAGTCACATAATATATTTTTAATTCATATATTCAACTAGTATAATTTCTGTTCACTATGTGCTAAGTGAAGGAGCCCTGGTGGCGCAACGGTGAAGCGCTGAGCTGCTAACTGAAAGGTCGTGGTTCGAACCCACCAGTGGCTCCATGGGAGAAAAGACCCGGCGATCGGCTCCTGTAAAGATTACAGCCTAGGAAACCCTATGGGGCAGTTCTACTCTGTCATATAAGGTCACTATGAGTGGGAACTGACTCAGTGGCACACAAAAACAATAACAACATGTGCTAAGTACCATGATACTAACGAAGTACCTCAAGAGCAGGGAGGTCATTATAGGGAATGATTTCGAAACCTGGCATAAACGGTCCAAAACCATCATAACTGGTTGGGTCTGTGGAACTGGAGACAGCAGACAATGTTCTACCCCAAAAGTTTCCAGCTGGAAAAGAGAAACAAACACAGATTATCTCAAACAAATCCCCAAATTTAATAAACAATGCCCCTGCCCCCCACAAAAGTACCTTAGGAAGTCTGATTTAAAAAGAAAAGTCAAGCGTTTGCTTTAGCACTTTCATTTGTGAACACAAAAGCCGACAGGAAGCACCATGGTTCTTGAGGTCTGGCGTTACAACTGCTATTTCGTACACTTGTCCACTGAGCCTCCAGACTGTAATATATGCCCCTGAGGAGAGGCCCTTGTCTCTTCTTTCAAGAATCCCAACCCCGATACCAAACCCTGACAATCGAGGCACTCAACATGTGCTTTTTAAGAAATGGTGCATTTATAACAGCGATATGAGAAAGAGAATCTTCTTCATAGAGAATGAACAGCTTTCCTTTTAAAAACCCAATACTGCAGGCTAACTAGTCTACAAAATGCATTTTAAATTTCATTTGGAGAGAATGTTCTCAGGCAACCTAAACACCTTCTCTTGTGCGTTCCTTGATATTATAATCTTTACAATGCTAAATGACAGACATCTGCCTTTGCCCAGGAACCTTTTTTATCCATTATTTATTTCATTAATACATTTGACTGAGTGGTTACTATATGACAGGTATGGTTCTAGGTGATCAAGACTGGCATACAATGGTGATCAAGATTCGCCAGGGCCCCTGCCCTCAAGGAGCTTACATTCTAGTAGGGAAGAAACACCAAATAACATAAACCAATAAAACAAGTGAAGAAGGTCATTCAGCCCGGGTTAAATTCAAGGCCGGAAGTAAACCATGGAGAGGGTCAGAGGCTGGCCTACCTTCCCACCACCTCTGCTGGCAGCAGTTCACTGGAGCCAGGACTGAAGTACTACATTCTGACTTCACAGCATCTCTAAACACTACTCTTGCAAAGCCTCTCTCAGCTCTGCCTAATCCCCACCCTACTCGTCCACAAATCACAGCATATGGATTTTGATCCAGGTTGTGTAAAAAAAACACACTGACTGGGCCATGAGTCTATTCGCTCTCTTCTTTAGCCTCAGGAACCGCGTCCTCCGTAACTCACCCTTCAGGTTTAAGGGACTTACAGTTGGGAAGAGTCTTCCTCTGTCTCTCCACCCTACTGACTCACCAGCTTCTTTCAAAGCTCAGGTGAAAACATCTCTGCGCCATCTGCTACTATTAAAGAGACTGGGTACAGTCTGTACGATGAAAATCACCAAAAATACCATTTTTGCTTGCAAGGGAGTTACGCTGCCCTACAACTAAAGCATGAAACTTTAAAATGGCAGTACAGAGCTGTGCAAAGATTTCTTCTTCTTTGGAAACATTAATCTGTCGCCCTCAAATACCAATTATTGTTGGCCATCAGTTGAACTCTGAATTCTATTACGTCAAAACCAAAACCAAAACCAGTTGCTGTTGAGTTGATCCCAACTCATGGTGACCCCATGTGTCACAGTAGAACTGTGCTCCACAGAGTTTTCAGTGGCTGTTTTTTCAGAAGATCACCAGGCCCTTCTTGGATGGACTCAAACTGCCAATCTTCCTGTTAGCAGAGAGCACATTAGCTGTTTGCCCCACGCACTGACTCTTCTATTACAATGAAGGGTTTATAATTTAACTGCATGTGTTCACAAGGCAAAATATTTAAGCATTATTAGAAAACATGAATTTTGACCATGTGCAGTGACAAATCTATACATGCTTTGTGTTTTAAAAATTAAAATCAAAGCTTTAAAAAAAGTCAAAACCTATCATTTGAACATCATTATAAAGATTCTGTCATGGATTGAATCATGTCCCCCAGAAAATATCTGTCAACTTGGCTAGGCCATGATTCCCCGTATTGTGTGAGTGTCCACCATTCTGTTATCCGATGTGATTTTCCTATATGTTGTAAACCCTATCTCTATGCTGCTAACGAGCTGGGATTACAGTTGGTTATGTTAATGAGGCAGGACTCAATCTACAAGATTAGGTTGTGTTTTAAGTCAATCTCTTTTGAGATATAAAGGAGAGAAGCGAGTAGAGAGACAAGGGACCTCATACCACCAAGAAAGCAGTGCTGGGAGCAGAGCTCGCCCTTTGGACGCAGGGTCCCTGTGCAGAGAAGCTCCTAGACCAAGGGAAGATTGATGACAAGGACCTTTCTCCAGAGCCAACAGAGACAGAAAGCCTTCCCAAGGAGCTGGCACCCTGAATTCTGACTTCTAGCCTACTAGGCTATGAGAGAATAAAGTTCTCGTTGTTAAAGCCATGTACTTGTGGTATTTCTGTTATAGCAGCACTAAATAACTAAGACAGATTCTAAAAATCTGATTATATCGCCTCGATCAACTGCTATTCTCCCCAACCAGTAGTTGTTATTCTTATCAACCGTTCCTAAAACTGTAAGGAGGAAAACTTCAGCCCTCCTCATCCCAACAGCTTTAAGAAGACCTCAAATATTAAAATTCAAACTTTGTATCATACCCAGAACACGGCCCACTCCAACATAACCCAACCCAACAACCTAACAAAAGTCTCCCACTGGGAAAGCCAGCTAATTAACTGGAAAACTGCTATGGAAAAAAATGAGGTAAGTAGATAATGAGAAATTAAACCATACAGTCACTCATTTTGGGGAGGGAGGCACAGGGAACTATTCAGGAGAGAAAATTTCCATATATGAAGAAATAACTTGGAAATAACCCAAGATGAGGAAGTCCTTCATTAATTTTTAATGAAGTGTTCAGCAAATAAAGTACCATGGATGAGGCAAACACATTAGAGCTATTTCATCGGTAACTTAAAACTGCCAATGACATTATACGCTTAAATGACAGCAGTTAATGTTTAATTTCACATACCTGCAAAAATGATCTTTGCTTTGTATTTCTGAATACCCTTGACCGTATAGCCCCATTTACGAGCAAGTTTGCAGGCTGTCTCTCCAGCCTCCACTCCTATCAAAAGGGAAAAAAAAATTCAGGTTTAAAAGATGTTTTAAAGTCTCCGAAGATGAGATTTATTTCTTGGGTTATATATAACAACAGAAGAAGAAAAGATTTTACCTGTATTCATAGGGAGAACCTTGTGGTAGTTGAAAAGCTTGGTAACGTACTCTTCGTATTCACCAAGTACGTTATTGTAGAAAGCCCTAGAGGTCAAGGTCAATTTGTCTGCCTGACTTTTCAGAGCATCCACAATCTTTGGGTGGCAATGTCCTTGGTTGACAGCACTGTAAGCACTCAGGAAGTCAAAATATTTTCTGCCTTCTATGTCCCATACGTAAATACCTAAAATACGTAAGAAAAAAAGAATTTTAGAAAACTACCAGATATGTAAAGTTCAAAAATGCACCCTGCTAGCAAGCCCTCTGAACACCTACACAGAATCTCCATTTAATATACAATTCTGGTTAAGGACTGTTTCAGCTCAAGCATGATAAACTTTACAAGGAATTATCAAGGAATTATATTTTATCTGTCAAGCTTCAAAATACATGTTTAATAAGCATAACATGAAAAAGATATAAACCCTGGAGTAAAACCGTTACCTAATTCTAACGTTAAAGAGCCAAAACTGGAATGTAAAGGCAGAGATGTTACAAAGAACAGATAAACCATGAAAAGTTGTCTAGAGATGATAAAATGGATTGGGAGCTAACACCGAACTCACACCATGTACTATATACAAGCTCTGTGTTAGGTGCTTTCGTGCATTATCTCAGCAAAAACACCCTTATGAGAGTCTGCTGCCGTCGGCTGTACCAAAAAAAAAAAAAGAAAAAAAACAAACCCGTTGCCGTCGAGTCAATTCCAACTCATAGTGACCCTATAGGACAGAGCAGAACTGCCCCATAGGGTTTCCAAGGAACGGCTGGTGGATTTGAACTGCCAGCCTTTTGGTTAGCAGCTGGGCTCTTAATCACTGTGCCACCAGGGCTATAGAGGCCTAGATTACAGAACTAGGCTAAGTTAGCACGTGTGGAAACAGGACCTGCGTCCAGGCAGTCACACCCTGCTACCGTAAGGGAAGAATATTTTTGTAAACCAACTTATTTCCAAATGTACAACACAGAAATCTAGATTTTCACGTGTTCAGAGATCTATCTCTATTACAGTACTGATTCCAAATAAAATACAGGTGGATGACAAAAATGGTTTATACTTCCATCTTCTGGCCCAAAGCTAAGTAATACATTTTGGTTTCAAATGGTTAAGGCTGTTATATCAAATCTGGATAAAATCACCATTTGGCAATAATCAAACCATCATAGTAAGAATTTATTCAGGCAAGAATCGTTAGTGGATGCTAAAACTTCTTTTGCTACAAAGGACAACTACTGAACCTGAATAAGGTCTGTAGATTAAATCATGGTGCTGTATCAAGGTGAATTTCCTGATTTTGATAATTACATAAGGTTATGTAAGAGAAAGTCCTTGTTTTTTAGGAAACGCACACTAAGTATTCTGGGGTAAAGAGGCATCATGTCTGCAAGTTACTCTCAAACAGTTTAGAAAAATATATGTATGTACACTCATGGTGTATGCCTCTGTGTGTGTGTGTGTGTGTGTGTGTTGTGTGTGTTGTGTGTGTGTAGAGAGGAGACACGAAAACAAATGTGGTAAAACTTCAGCATTTGGGAAATCTGGTGGGGGGTAAAAGAAAATTCTTTGTACTTCTGTTTTTGTTTGTTTTTTCACTTATGTTCCTTTGCCTTATAATAATTTATTAATAATACTATTATTAGCAACCAGAAAGAAATGCAGAGAAGTTTACAATTTAAAAGAATATTGTATATGTGATTTCATCTGACCCTGGTAGCAACCAGCATGTTCTCTCTTTCACTATACATTTTATAGGTTAAGAAATGTTAGACAAAAAGACAGTCTAAGCTTATTCAGCTAGTAACTGGCAAGGCTGAACCTAAACCCAAGCTCTTTTAGCCCTCGCTTCCCTAGGTTTTTTGGGTTTTGCTATTGTTGTTGAGAATATACACAGCAGAACATACACCAATTCAATAGTTTCTACATGTACAATTCAGTGACACTGATCACATTCTTAAAGTTGTGCAACCATTCTCATCCTCCTTTCCCAAGTTGTTCCTCTCCATTAACATAAACTCACTGCCCCCAAGGCTCCTTATCTAATCTTTTGAGTTGCAGTTGTCAATTTGATCCCACACAGACAGTTCTTAAAAGACACGATGCTCAAGGCAGACATTCTTTATTAGTTAAGTGCAACTACTGTTTGGTTTTCAGAAGACTTCAGGAGATATTTTTGGTGTAAGGTTTATGTACTACTTTTGTAGCTTCTCTTTCTTTGAGTCTAAAATTATGCCAAAATAAAAAGAGAAAACAATGTTAGCAATACGACAGTACTTTACTAATGTATCTTCTACTCCCCACTGGTAAGATCCATCACGACCAAGATCAATGAGTTCCTCTTTGTATGCCCGCAGCACCTAACACAGCATTATGAGATGCTCAATAAACGTCGTATTAATGTATCTACAATACAGAAATTAAATGCATCTGGAAAAATGTATATGGAGAAAAACATAAAAGCAACTCATTTTTTAAAGAGTCCAAGCCAAAAAATAAAAATATAAAAAAACCTAGGTTAACTTGAAATGTACCTTTTCCTTTCTCCAGGGCTACAGGTAAAGGGTGGTAGTTGTGTGCACCATATTTAGATTCCCGTTCAAAAATGTAATCAGAGGATACAGGGCCTTGGACTGTTTTTTTAGTTGCAACGGATACAGCAGAAGCCACTGAAGAATGAACTCCCCGGCGAAGCAGAGCGACAGTCTGCAAACGTGCTAGTTTGGAAAGCATCGTGTCCGTCAAGTAGGAATGCTACAGATCTGTCCAAAGAAAAGAGAAAAGTCATCAACAGTGAGAGTCTTTCCAGAGTTCACGCATGTTGACTCATTAAATATTTGTTGGGCATCTATCACATGTCCAGCAAAGAATTAGGAAAATGATAGAGAACTAAGAGACCTGGCCCTTGCCTTTGGGAAGCTTGGAAGCCAACAAGGAGAGCAAATACATAAATATTTACAATAAAACTTAACAAGTGCTACAATGGGAATGAGTACAAAGTGCTAAGGTTGGAAGAAGGCAAACAGAATATGTAAGAAAAAAGATGGACGGGAGGGCAGGGGCTTTTACTTCTCACTTACACCCTTCTGTACACCACTGGACAGTTTTATCATAGACAGACACACATATATACTTTTTTTTTTTTAAGTCAGCAGTGCTAAGAGAACATCAAAGACAAAGGAACTCACTCTAGGGGAGTTAGGCAAGGCTGTAGAGAAGAGGCTCTCAGGAGTTGGTACCTGATCTTACAGACTGAAGAACCATTCACGAAGGTATTTAATGCAGGGCTGTGACACTACCAGATGGTTAAGACTGCAGGGCAGAGGCCAGGGGCAGGGCACCAGGGGAGAGTCATGGGGATAGGAGACAGGCAGGCAGGCTTGAGAACCATTTTCATATCAACTCTATCCTTGCATGTAGGGGTTGAAGGCATGAAAGAAGAATTTGGTTTCTACAAAGATGATTGTTAGCTGCCATCAAGTCGGCCCTCACGCACAATGGAATCAGACATTGTGATCCACAGGGTTTTCATTGGCTGATTTTTTGGGGCAGATCACTAGGCCTTTCTCCCTAGTCTGTCTTAGTCTGTTCAGCATCATAGCAACATGCAAGCTGGGAATCAAACCCAGGTCTCCTGCATGGAAGGTGAGAATTCCACCACTGAACGACCACTGTCCCCCACAAAATAACAGCGACCATCATTAAGGGAAAACAACAGGTGTGTGGGGGGAGTGACTTATCGAGGGTCGTTGTTGTTAGGTGCCGTCAAGTCGGTTCCGACTCATAGTGACCCCGTGCACCACAAAACGAAACCCTGCCCGGTCCTGCACCATGCTCACAGTCGTTGTTATGCTTGAGTCCACTGTTGCAGCCACTGTGTCAATCCATCTCATTGAGGGTCCCTTCTCTTTTTCACTGACCCTCCACTTTGCCAAGCATGATGTCCTTCTCCAGGGACTGATCCCTCCTGACAACATGTCCAAAGTACGTGAGACGTAGTCTCGCCATCCTTGCTTCTAAGGAGCATTCTGGATGTACTTCTTCCGAGACAGATTTGTTCATTCTTTTGGCAGTCCATGGTATATTCAATATTCTTCGCCAACACCGCAACTCAAAGGCGTCAATTCTTCTTTGGTCTTCCTTATTCACTGTCCAGCTTTCGCATGCATAGGTAATTGAAAATACCATGGCTTGGATCAGGCGCACCTTAGTCTTCAAGGGGACATCTTTGCTTTTCAACACTTTAAAGAGGTCTTTTGCAGCAGATTTGCCCAATGCAATGTGTCTTTTGATTTCCTGACTACTGCTTCCACGGGTGTTGATTGTGAACCCAAGTAAAATGAAATCCTTGACAACTTTATTGAGGGTGGGAAAGGCTTATTAAGCATAACACCAAAAACACAAACTGCAAAAGCTAAAATCTGATATTTAGCAAATATCTGTAGGTCAAAATTATCATATAAAAGCTGAAGGACAAAAAGAGTAGAAACAAGTGTTTTGCCATTTTTAACAGCCTTTGAAGAACGTTTACAGTAGGTGATCAGACCAGAAAAAAACACAAAAGATGAAAGCAGGAAATTGTTGAAAGAAACACTCTACTCTGCCATGAGGATTATGCTTCTGGAAAACTTATCCCAAAAAATCTGCATCATAAAAGCGACCGTTTGAAGAGAAAAGGTTAATCAGGAACTACAGAAGATCAGACTACACTAAGTTATCTGTATGAATTTTGGTAGTAAGGCCCATCATCTGGGCATCCTAACAAACTGGCATTTACTCACATATGATGATGTATCTCAGAGGCCAGCCTTCTCCCTCCCAGTCACCACCCGCCCTATCACTAGCCTCCACCATGGTGCCTCACGCCCTGTTTTGTATCCCATTTTACCACTAATCATCGTGAGAAGCCATCAAATAAAGACTGAGCTATGGAAGAAACGAAGAATAAAAAAGAATCAGAGAACAAACATAGTAATCATGTCTGGGGGAAAAAAAATGGTTTTTAAAGATAAATTCAAGATCAGTAGAAAATGGCCAAAAACTAGGCATATTTAAGGCATATTTAGTATTACCATCAATACTTATTTTTAAAAAGACAACTCATGTTTCAAAAGAACTCCATCAGTGACAACCTAGGCCTTTTCTCACGCTTGGTTTGAGTGGCCAGATTTAAAAAAGCATCATACTTGACATTTGGCCTACTTGCCTTTCAACTTGACCCTACCTGGTAAATCCAGTATGTTCAGGAATGCCCAATTACTAAACAAAATCCGGAACTTCGGTTTGCCAAAGCCTCACCCACTATCCTTTCTTCCCACGGTTCAGACTAGAATAAGGAATTTTAACCTGAGATCCAGGGACAGGCTTCAGAGGGTCCAATAGCTCCTGAAATAAAATGCAGAATTATATGCATAAGTGCATTTTTCTAAGGAGATGGTCCATAATTTTCACTAGATTTATCTCAAAGAGGTATACACCACCAACAACAAAAGTTATATAAGAATCATTAGGTTCGAGGTGGCTGCTAGCAAAAATGCCGAAGTATCTAATTCTACTAAATAAAACTTTCCCAGAATACTACTGCTAAGTTTAAAACATTGATTTTCACCTTTGTTTCCTGGGCTCTTCCTGTTCTACTCAGGAAGAATTAATGCTCTATCTGACCAAGTAAAAAACTAATGTAACAAGACCTTGATTTTACCTATCAAATTAGCAAGGAGGCACAGTGACGTGTTGCACGATACTTAATGGTCCTCTGAATTGAAACAACTTTCTCAAAAGAAATGTAGCCACAATAGAAGCCTGAGAAATGTTTATACTCTTAGACCAATAATTTCACTGTCAAGTCTCAGGGATGTAGAGAAACACTCGTACATAAAAAATGGCCAACGATATTAGAATGGTTGACATACCAAACCAAACTCATTGCCAGCAAGTCGATCCTGACTCATAGCGACCCTACAAGACAGAATACAACTGCCCCATAGGGTTTCCCAAGCTGTAACCCTTATGGAAGCAGACTGCCACATCTTCTTCCCACAGAGTGCCTGGTAGGCTTGAATCGCCGACCTTCCAAGAGAGCAGCTGAGTGTTAACCACTGCGCCACCAGGGCTCTTTTTGTTGACAGTCACACACACAATTATGTATAGCTATTTAGGATAATCTGAGTTTTCAATGACATGGAGAGATGTTTTAGGATATATGTAAGTGAAGAAAATAAAACGTGATCCACAGAATGATCGACTATGCAAAAATCAAACCATAATGAAGAGAAAAACCGCAAGGACAGGCACAGAAATGTTCACTCTGGTTATCTATTTTCCTGCACTTTCTACATTTTCCCCAATAACCATGAATGACATTTACAATCAAAAAAAATACTTCAAATGAAACTGGATGTCCGCCTGGGTTGTCATGTTTAGACAAAGAGGAGAAAGCGTAGGCAAGAAACCGCGAAGAGGAAAAGAAAGAATTTAATAAGCTCTGAGAAAACAGAGCGGTTAAAAGAAAGGCAGAAGCCACCACCCCTGGAAAGTATAGCTCAGCTGTCTGTAGGGGATGAGTTCGAATCCTAAAATAAAAACTATCCTTCATGATGATTTTCCTGTCAAGGTCTATAGCGTTGTGCCTCTATCAAAACCAGGCAGAGAGGCACCAAAAAACGGTCGTATTAAAAAAGAATACCCAAAACCCTCTAAATGGCATCTTTTTAGTTAATTAACGGGTTGATACAACACTGCAAGTGAAAGAAATCTTTGAGATTACTGTATCTAAATTCCACATTCTCATCTTATACTAGGAAATTACAAACGTTCAGCTAATTCCAAACATAAAAAGGCCATTTATCTGCCGAGTTCAGGCAGTTTTGTTGAAGAATAACTGTAACGTACTGACAAAATCGTAACATTCCAAACATTGTTAATACTCATTACATTAAGGTTTTGTCAAGATGAACTGAATATTTAGTTCAACTGGGAAAGGCCCAGCAGTTGGGTGGGTCATGGCGTACAGGACTCTGTAAGCACATTTTTATTAAAGAACCTTCTGTGTTCAAGTTACTGCACTTGGCACTATAGAGGAAATATTAGACCAGAATTAAGAAGGGCTTTAAAAATAGCCAACCTCACCATTTTCCTCTTCCAAAAAGGCCTGGACAACCAGGGTAGCAGAGTGGCGAGTCCACAGGCTTTGGAGTCAGAAGGGGCAGGAGTTTAAATTCTGGCCGTGGCACTTGGGAGTAGCTTTGGTTCATTTTGTCAATCTTTTGGAGCTTCAATTTTCCCATTTCTAAAATGAGGTTGGAGCCATTCAAGAGCATAAAAAGCCAAAACCAAACCCACGGCCATCAAGTCGATTCCAACTCACTGTGACCCTGTAGGACAGAGTAGAACTGCCCCGCAGGGTTTCCAAGGCTGTCATTTTTACGGAAGCAGACTGCCACGTCTTTCTCCTGTGGATTGGCTGGTGGGTTTGAAGCACTGACCTTCCGGAGGGCAGCCGAGAGCTTTAAACACTGCACCACCAGGGCTCTTTTCAAAAGCATTATTGAGATTTAAATGAGTTCACATTAAAGTGCCAAACTGAGTACAAAATGGCCACTCAGTCAATTAGTTCCCTTCCTCCCTTAAGCCCACTAGCTAATTTCCACAGTATAAAAATCAGCAGTTCCATAGCTACCTTTGTAAGCTGGGTTTTTTGTTCTTAAGAAATAAATAAAATTTTCTGTTGATCTAAAATTTAAAAAAAAAAAATCAAAAAACAAAGACAAGAAGAAAATTACCTGCAAGCCCACATCTCAGGGATAACCATTAACTTTTTGTTATTTTCTATACATATGCATTACATGCATTGGCCTTTTTTTCACCCTCCCCTATAGAATTTACCACATAAGACTCTCTTGAAGACTCCCGGGTTCCTTGTAAAGGCTTCCGTCACAGGTCCTAACACTTCAGGACACTTGTTTTCATGCCTGCTCCCACTAGCTATAAGCTCCTTACAAGGACAGTAACCATGTCTTAAAATTCACTTTGCGGCCCCGGAACTTAGGCCAGGTTCTGGCCTTTCACGGGCTTTCTTTGCTTGCCCGATGAATAAGGTCATCCCTAAATAGACACACTTAAGGCTCCGGAAGGAGTGAAGGCAGCAGTAGGAAGGAGCAAGATCAACACTGTAGATGACTGCACCATGTATCCCTGACCAAGCAGAGTCTAACATTCTCTCAGCGCTCACCAGATTGAGCCAAGATTTGTAGTCCAAATTCTCTGTACCAGTGTAACTGCTGTCAGGCCCATACTCAGGTCCTGAAAATGAGAACAAATTGCTACTGACAAGCAAAAATGTTAACAAAGGATGTTTAAATAACCCACGTGATTTTTACACAGTCCTTCTTCAGCCTATCACTACTCTCGTCTTCTACCCAACCCACCCTTTCTGCACTGGAACATCCCTATAACAGAATTTCCATAAAACGCTACATTTGGAAGAGTTTGTTTTGCCTACACTATTAAATACTATTTCCTTAAATCACTCCAAAACATAATCAGCACTAAGTCTTCAAAAAGTCACCTGAAATACTCAACTTGAATAAATCTGGTTTTACTACACTTGCCAAATATTTACTTTACTCTAGATAACCATTCACAAATATGGGCCTTTTTTAAAAAGTTCTCCAACAAAAACTTTCTTTACATAATCAGAATGTGGACTAAAATTCAACTCAAGTGCATCACTGGTCAACACCACAAGCCTTACTACTGAAAAACGACTGACTGCACCCCACACACACCTCCAATCTTCGGTCCATTCACCACTATTTTAAAATGCAGGAGATGTGACCCATCCTCAAGAACTCAGTAAAAGGTATAAAATATGCACACAAATAACTGCAATAAAGGTAATGGGGAGGCGGCTGGAAACCCTGGTGGCCACCAGGCACTCCTTCGAAACTCTCTGGGGCAGTTCTATTCTGTCCTATAAGGTTGCTATGAGTCGGAATCAACTCTATGGCAATGGGTTTGTTTTTTTATGATAGGGATGTAACTTATAAGACAGCCTCTTTGGATGAAAAATTCCTTTAAAAGATTTTTTTTACTATTTAAAGTTATACTGGTTTACTTATTTATTTGGGGGGAATGCAGAATTAATCTTTAAACAGTTTCACTAAATGAAAAATTGTAAACCCAAAACAATAAAGAAGCTTTTTTAATTTAAATCTAGGTTTTATTAAAAGATTCTGCATCTTCTTCATAATCAGGAACTAGATTCTCTAAAGATGGAAATCAGGATATTCTACTGAAAAGAGTTTATTGTTTATTGCAAATAAGTAAGGGAGACAATTTGGACTACAAATCTAGAGAACAGTTCCAGGTTCAGACTGAGAGAACTAGGTTTACTACAGAAACCCTTACAATCCTTAAGAAAGATTGAGAATTGATAAATGGGAGATTAGTAGTTTACTAAACCCCCTCAGGGTAAAGCCACTTCATTCCGAGGAGCCACCTCCTTTTCGCCCTTCTCAATTTACCATCCCAATTATCAAAAAGGTGCATCTGGACACCTGAACTAAACACCAAGAAGGTTAAGATATAAACAGTAACAGAGGGAGGAGGCTGGGGGTCACTGAGAACATGCTTCCACCAAATTCCACCAGAACTGACTGAACGTTGCAAAGGAACTCTCAGGATGAAGCAAGCCTTCCTGCAAATCCTCTTGGCCTCAATCGCTGACACCATCTAATCCCCCTGCACGTTACAGTGAAGCGTAGCTTTACTTCCGTAAATCTTTATTTGGAAAAAGGCTGGTGGGGAAAAAGAGAGAGAGAGGTGGGGGAGGAGGGGAGTGGGCAGGTTTAGCAGCAGCGCAGGGGCGGTCGGGAGGGCTCCGGATCCCTTCTCACTAGTATCCATCAGCGCCCCTCGTCCCCAAAGCAAAGGCAAAAACATTCACTGAGTAGTTCCCCGGGATCCAGGGCGCGCCCTCCCCGCCGACCTCGGGAAGCTCGGTGCCGGCAGCGCCCTGCAGCGTGGGCTCAAGGAGGCCCGGCCCCGCCCAGCCTGGCCCGCGGAGGTGCCACATCCACAGCCTCTCCTCCTCCCGCCCTCGCCCGCCGCCGCCGCCGCCGCCAGGCCAGGGATGCCGGGACCCCCGGAGCAGGATGCCAGCTCCCTGGGCCTGGAAAGCGGGCCGGGGTGCCCGCGCCTGCCCAGG